ACCCACAACAAACACACCCCTCCCTCCTTCTCCTTCTCTCAAGCCATTTTCCTGCTTTTCGTTTCCTGAGTTCCAATTTTACTATGTCCAAACTCACAAAACAAGTGGATAAAGTGTGTTTATAATTCTTTGAAGAGCAAGTAAAACACCTTAGATTGAGCCCTAAATCAGACTATTAGTAAGAGAAGTAATTAGAACGATGATTTTGTTGCTAAAGATATGCAATCTTTTTCTACTACATGTTAGTCTGCTATCATCATTCTGTCTGCAAACAGAGTGAAAAAAAAAAAAGGAATATACTCTTAGGTTATTCCTGGGAGACTCACTATGGGACAAACCTAGCTGTTCCTAATTAATTTTAACTATGACAACTCCTCCCAAATGCAGAACATTCCAAACCATTTTTGAGAATGGTTAGATATTGCTCAAGGAAGAACAGAATTCCTGAGTATACTGGACTGTAATTGCAGGCAAAAAAAAAAACATATATATATATATACACCTCATTATTGTGCCTTTCTCATAGTAGAAACTCAAATATGTCATGTTGAATAAATACTCCTTTTCTGCTTCTGCAAGCATGCTGTAATTTTCATACTCTGCCCTGTATTTACTGTCATAATTGTTAATTCAGACCACTAAGGTGACATGTTTATTAACACACACCGTATAGCTTTTTAAAAATGAAACTGAAAATACCAGAAACTGAAATTATAGATTTTTCCCTCTAATTTCCCAATTTTCTATAATGCAGTTATATTACTCTTGCAATTTAAAAAAAAAAAAAAAAGCATTAGAAGGAAAAGTATTTTTATAGCATTTATTGTTTTAGACTATATCCTAAGATTATTTTAATTAAGTCCCATTCTAAGGACTTTCTTATTATCCAAAAAAAAAAAATAATCCTTGATAAATTAAAGCAAGAAAATGTCAGCATAAAACTGAACTGCTGGAATATTATTTAAAATATTCATATCATGCCATAGTTCAATAAAATGTTTATCATCATCAAGAACACTACTTATACATCCACAACTGTACTGTCAAGATACCATGAAAGGCACTGGAGATTCAAAGGCAAAAGACATGGCTTCCATCCTCAAGAATTTTACTAAACTAATTAGAACAACAGGGCATATACTGAAAAAGAAAATAAAAAATACAAGGGAGCACTGGATATGCCAAGCATCTAATTCATAGAGAAGTATACTAAAACAGATTTTAAAGGCCTATAGATTTTAGATCAAAATCTTCCGTCTACCACTAATGAGCTTACGTAAATTACTTCCTTCATTTGTACAATGGAGTGTTAGATTAAGTGAAGTAAAATTCCTAGCATATAGTAACATCTAAAAGGAAGTTAATAGTATTATTATTATTATTAGGGATACAGGCTTGAGGAAGAAATGCACACCTGGAAAAATTTTTAAAGAGAATTGTTAATATATTTTTGTGATCTATCACTATAAGCAAAAATCACAAGATCTTTCTCAAGTTTTACTTTCTATTGACAAGAAAAAAAAAATAGACCATCTAGTGAAAACTGGTATTTGAAAACACTAAGGCTACACAGAACTAAAGTACCTGAGAAAGTCACCACTAGATCTACAAATCAAAGAATATGACCTAAAAAAAGAATGTTAGTTTGAAAGGTCCTCCTTAGACTCGCAACTCTCTCATACCAGAATGTAAGCTCCACGTTATGTGTCCAAGCTCCAAGAATTGTTATCTGTTTTGTTCATTTCTATATCCTCAGTACCTAGATTAATTCCCAGCTTACAGTGAATGCTCAATAAATATCTGTTGAATAAACAGTAAAGAAAATTGAGCTCCTGGCATAGCTGGAACTGGAACTAATATTTCATTACTCTAGTATTCTATCTCCTGTCTAAACTAGAATATGATAATTTAGATAACTTATTTTGATGGTTGAGGAGTTGGAGGGTTGGTTAGGAGGAAGGAAGGTGTAGATCAAAACATTTTTCACATTTTTCCCCCAACTGTCAGTTTTGCTTAATTGATAAAGGCAAAAAAATTATAAACAAGACAATCCCAGCACAGTGCCTAGCACACAATATCTCATGACCATTATTATCTCATGACCAGAAACTAACTTCCCATCTGTTTAATCTTTGTAACTGTCATAGAACCCTTTAGAATTTTCAGTCTTTCATAAGATAGTTATTAATCACTTTCTTCCAGATGGGTGCTGAAGGAGGAGAGATGAATTAAAAGATGTCCCTGCCCTGGAAGATCTCTCTTGAGTATGCCGGCGTCTGAGTTAGTGAGTGGTGGGGAGGGGTGGGGGCAGGTCAATAATGTATGTGAAACCAGGTCACATTGTTATCTGTTTATTGCCTTGAGTAGTTAAAAAATTTAAAAATCACAATCAGCAAAGTTTTGAAATAACAAGGAGGCACACTGGGGTATATTAACACTTGGGAAGGTTCTTTTTCCTGTGCCTTTACAATGTATCTCACTGCCTCTTAATGTATTAAAGTCAAAATATTCTAAATTGACTTATTTGAATTGTCAATATAAATGAACTATCAATGTTATGTCCTTTCATATGTGAGACAGTGAAGGCTAATACTCCTGATTCAGTATTTACTCTGTGTATGTTCCTATTTAAATATATAACCACAATATATATTTAAATTATTTAACTGTCTATAAAAATGACAGAGCCTGAAGAAAAGCTCGAGATGAGTGCTAGTAAATAAAAAACTAATATCACAGTATTACCCAGGGAGAGAATAAAGTAGGCACACAGCTAAGAAGTGAACCTATAGAGGTCTCCAAGAGAACAAAATCTTCAAGAGGAGAAAATTTTCTGCCAGAACTGGCTAACAGAGACAGAGAGCAACAGCTTGCTAGAAGGGTCTTACAATGCAAGTCACTAACTAGACTCACAAAAGTCAGTGTTGCCATTCTTCAAATTTGAGTGTCAGGAGGCCACTTTCAAAGCATGCGTCACCAAGACGAAACCACCACATTCCAAGGAGTTCTTTCCCATTATCTGCATGTCAAAATAGGATAAGCAACACCAAACGAATTGGAAAATAAAACAGCCTTCACATAGGAGTGATAATTCCTACAAGCTGAAGTTAGTTATTTTACCTGAGGCATGTGTTTATATGTGGTTCCTGGGAGAACATTTTTCACTCGGTCTATCCTAGAGTGCTAGGTGAAACACCTCAAATCCTCTTGATCCCAACACAGAAAACTCTCCAATCCAAATGTATATTCTACTCCAGTGTTAACGCCTTATAAGCACTGACAAATCCAGGCCAAGGAGACTACAAGGTGGCAGGGAGATACTACAAGTCAGGCAGGAAGGCTAGGGTGGGCCCCAAGGGGGATGTACCTGGTCACCAGTTCTAGTGACAACCAGTTGAGAAGGTGAGACTGGGGTAAGTTTTGGTCAGAGGGCCAGAAAAGGATAGACAGGTGCATGTCACCTCACCATCCTGGACATCATGGAAAGATAACTGACTTTCTTTACAAGGTGGGAGGAACGAAGCTTCCAGAATGAGTGATGTTGAGAGGTTTTCTGGGAAGCACAAGAACTGAGCTCTGAGGAGAGCAGAAAAACAAGAAGAGGAAAGCCCCTGAGAATCGGTTTTGGAGAAAATTCCTCCGGGACGAGTGATCTCTATGGTCGTTCCCAGCATCAAGACTGGTGGGACCATCACACCTGTTAAAAGATGTTTCCCTATTAACAGCTTGGACAGCGATTAAGTGCAAATCCACCGGGTTAGAATGGAAGATTTGAGTAGGAAAAGACCATTGTGGGGTCTGACCCAGGAGGAAACCTGATCAGGAGGGGAAGAGGCTGAATTCGGGAAGGCGATAGCAGGCTAAGTACTTGGGTAGGATGAGACTTATTTGGAAGCGAGATCGACTGCAGGAATGGAAGGCTTTCATTGGACTCCAGGTGGGAAAAGGCCCGTTTAGAGTGCAAAGACGCCTTGAGCGCCTGGTTCGGGAAGGTGACTCTAACTAGGGGAAGCGCGCTGCCCAGCCCAGAGCGTGAGCCTCGTGCGGGCCGAGGGCTGACCCGGGGGTGAGGCTGATCCGCGCGAGCTCACAAGCTCACCTGGGACAGTCTGGCCTGGAATGAGGAAACTTCCTGGGTGGGTGAAAGCTGAATGGAGGGAGAGGGGCCAGGCACAGACTGAGCCGGGCGCGGGGTACCGGACACACAGCTGGGGCGTGGGGGCGGGGGGGGGAGTTGCCCACCGATCCCGGCTGGGGTCGCGGCTGCCAAGACGGAGCTGCGGGCTCGGGATGGCGCCCCCCGCTCGGGCACACACGCACTGGCTCTAACTCTCACTATCGACCGCCCCGTCCGGGGCCGAGAGAAACTGCCCGGGTCGGTGACCGCAGGGCGGTGGGGGAGGGGGCCGGCCGGGGACACCAGCCGACCGAGCCCGGCGGATGGGCGAGCGGCGTTACCTGTGTCAGGGAGAGCTGGGCCGCCGCAGCCATGGTGTTTCCATCATGCACGGGAGGGGAAGGAAGGACGGGCGGATGGGGGCTCGGGGCGGGGAGGAGGCGGAGGGAGCGGCCAGAGGCGAGGCCCGGGAGGGCGGGCGGCCGGGCGTCTCCCCTAACTTCAACAACTTCCCTCCTCTCGCCCGCCCCGCCCCGCATGGCCCCGCCCGCCCCGCGCAGACTGTGGCGGCACCCAAATCCTGGCGCAGGATTTGGAACCTGCGGACCGGAGCCTAAACCCGGGGCGTCCTGAAAAAAACCGGCCTGGAAGTGAAATTAAGGCGGACTGGCTGTGGAGGAAGCAGCAACTCCAGATTTTCCCATGAACTTTAGGCGGTCACTAAGCTTCTGCTTCTGAAAAATGGGGAGAAATGATACCCAAAATCCAGGTCGCTCGTCAGGACTAACTGAGATAATGATAGGAAATGATAACAATGTTTTATATATGCCAGAAACTGTGCTAGACACTTTATTTTCGAATTGTACAAATAAAGGAACTGAGATATTTAAATAAGTTATACAAATGAGTAAACTGAAACACCAATAAGTGTCATACCTAAGGTCATACAGCTGATGAGATAGCTAGAATAGGATGCAGGTCTGATTCTAAAACCTCTGATTTAACCATCGGCTGTTAGGGTATGATAATAAAAAAGAACACTTAAATCTTTCCTTCCAGGAGCCAAAATCTAGGAGGGAAGGGAGAGAAATACTTTCCTTGACTGCTGGCTGCCTGCCACACTTAGATTGTTCAATAAAAGAGCGTTGGGACCTGCTCAACAGCCTGCAGCACCCCTAACACCGCCCATAAATAACCCACCTGGCAAACTCCTCCTACTTTCTCAAGACAACTCAAGTATCACTTCCTTTGCAAAGCATTTCCTGGCCTCCCTGAGTTACACACGCTCCTATTCTTTTTAACGGTTTTTCTCTACCTTATGAAGTCATCATCACCCTAGTGACTGTTTACATCTCTTCTACCTCTGTAGACTGAGAGCTCCTCAATGACAAGTACTGTTTCTAATATACTTCTATATCCTAAACCCTAGCATAGAGTATGTACTCAATAAAGGCCTTAGTTCCTGCATGTATTAAACATAACACATCCTATACTTTCTCATGTTGCCATCTTCAATTATAATAACCAACCAGTTCCTTGAAGCCCTCGTCTTTAAAGGCTTGGTTTATATGCTACCTACTTCAAGAAGCCTTCTAGAAACTCTCACTCCACCTCTTAGTTGCTCTCATATGTTCCTTATATTCTGCCTTGTTTTACAAAGTTAACTGCATGCTTTTCTGTACCCAACTGGACTGTACAATACTTGAGGACAGGGTTCCGAGTCACGACTACATTCCCCTCACAGTTTAGACTAGCACAGAGTAAGCCCCAATAAATGTTTTTACCCAGAATTGGTCTTCCTTTCTCAGTCATGGTGGCTTCCCACAATAAACCACAACTCTATCAGGCCCACACTCCTGTGCCCATTATCATAGCAGTCCCCATTTGACCCACGAGGAGGGCTAACCGAACAAGACCCAGGACTGTTAGCCCTACCTATGTTTTTAGACTTTTGCCACCACAGGCAAGCCATCCCAGAAATGCTCCCAGAAACACCTAACTCTGTTCAGATCCCTTTTTACAAGGTGCAGCCATGAAGGATGAGCCATGCAAGTCCGGTGAACACCTGCTTACTCAGGAGAGTCTCCTTTAACCTCGTTTTGCTGTTATTCTGTTTAACTCAAAGGAGAAGGAGGGTACTGTTTTGAATTACTCCACCATGGTGCCTCTATCAATTATAACCACAACCGATGTTTCTACTTGAATTTTCTATTTTACATTATCATATCTGAGCCTCACAACTCTGAAAGGTAGTAATCACCATTCTCACTCTGCAGATGAGGTAACTGAAGGTCCTAGAGGTTAAGTGATGTGCCCAATGTTACACAGCTCATAACCAAAGCAGTATAGCACAGTGGAATGAACAGGGTTTGAACATCAGAAACGTCCAGGTTCTAGTGCTAGCTCTATCACTTTCTAGCTGTAAATCTTAAGGTTGTTATGAGGATGAATAAAACAATATATATGAAAATACCTAAAGACATAGATACACGAATTTAGTTAAGAAATCTCAAAGTTGTGGAATGAATTACTATCAGGAGTAAAAATTCACTTGCTATGCAAAAAGACTCCTCCAAATCATACGAGATACAAGATATTACTCCAGGGCGAATCAAATCAATGTGGGAAATGTTGAGGAAATATAAGGAATTATTGTTATAACTATCGTGTAATTGACATTAAGTCAAAAACAACACTTATTTATACAGTATTGCTTTTCACAGTTTATAAGTGTTTTTACATACAGAATCTAACACAACTCCTGGAGTCGAATAGGCACATGAAAAAAGTTTGTTAAACTGAACTGAATGCATAGTTTCATGTGTAATTATCATTTGGATCCTCATTTTACCCCCATTTCAGAGATAAGAACACCAAGGAACACATAATTTGTAAATAACTTGTTTAAGTAAGGGTCACTTAAATCAGGTTTGGGCCTCGGTTAAAATAATGATAATTAGACCCTTCAGCAAAGGAATGTTAGCTAACAATCATGGGAGTTGCCCCAGATCCTCTTCCAGACCACCAATAATTTGTACTGGCTTTCTTCTTTGCTCGTTGGTTCTGGCTTAAAACTTGACATGTAGTGGGGGATGGGAGTGAGGGTCCAAACTCCCCCAAATAATTAGAACTTCTGGGACTGCATTTTTTTAAATGACACACCAATGACAGTTTGCGAATGCGTGTCCCAGATCTCATCAAAGCACTGGGTCATATCCCGCATCTATTTTAGGAGAGTAAAACGTAGCCGATGGAAGACGTGTTATGATCTAATTCACTGTAACAAGAGTGAGCTTCATGGAGCAGATAAAAAGGTCTTAAATTGTTTTTTCTAGGGCCACTTAATGTCTCCGGGTCTCTAAATCTCATATTCTTCATGTGTACATTGGAGATAATAATATCTACTTTGTAGTAGTGGGGTTAGGATTAGAAATCATGCATAAATGTCCAATCAGAGAGCCTGGCCTGGAAAGATGTCCAATAAATGGTAGCTAGAAGGATACTATTCTTTAAGATCACGTCACTATTTAACTCTCTACTCCTCAGACAATCCTCCAATTACTAGGTCAGTTCTGCAGATACATTGGCTGTAAGAAAGAAGTGCCTTGAACAGCTGACACACATATGCCTGTCATTAGAAAGGTAGATAGTCGCTAGGTAAATAAAGCTGTGTCTGATGACTTAAATCTGGATACTGATGACCAACAATTGCTGCTTTCATATACATTGTTTCATTTAATTCTCACAACAACCCTATAAGGATTATTATTAATTTTATTTTATAGAAGAGGAATTTGTCCAAATTCATAGTGAATTATACACAGTTCTTCTGATTCAAATGTACTTTTTACTTGGGCATGTTGCTGCTGTCCTGCAGACACTGATCACCCCCAAGAGACTTGATGAAATGGTGCTTCTGACTATAAAAAGCTGAAGACGAGGCTCTGGATTTATAATAACCTAACCCTAAACCTAAGATGATCCTGACAAGGAGATCTTAGATCACGAACAGTTTTGTCATCAGTGTTTCATTCCATCTTTCCATCCTACTTGAACTCCCACTCCCACTCCTCAATCCACCCTTAAGGGAAACCACAGATATTTTTATTTCTTTATTTTCTGACTTTTGGAGATGATTGTCATATTGGATCTTCATGAATACTGCACATCTGTAATGTCAGCATCTAGAAATGCAAGATGATTGATTAAAACTATGAAAAAAAAAACAACTGTGAGGAGCTCTCTGAATATACAAAGAACCAATTTATTTGAGTGAGACTTTGAGAAAGGCCTTCCATATAAATGGTGCTAAGCTACTCCCACCCTCCCACGCACCGCCCCCCCTACAAAATTATACTACAATTGTAATGGTAATCTGCAGTTCATGCTTCCAAGCTGCTGGTTTCATAAATATAGCCCATTATTGTTCATGTTTGCCCAGGGCAGAAAGAATATGTGAGGCTGCACAATAATAACAATTGTGCTACACAAATAACTGTCCTTGTGCCAAGGACGGAAAAGAACAAGCAGTAAGAGATTTTAAAATGCCACACACACCCAGGGTGTGAAAGGACAGTTCAATATTGTCATCACTGCTAATTTTTCAGGGTACTAGGGTGCCCCGGGAAGAGCCTGAATTTAGAACTGGGAAGGCCCAGCTTGGTCTAGTGTTGGCTCTGCAACTTCCTAGTTTTGTAACTTTGGACAAGTCAATGAACTATATATACCAAGACATGGCTTTCTCTCCTGTAAACAGAAGGTAACAACAGCACCTGCCTGATAAAGCTATTAGGATGATTAAATGAGGTTTCATGTGAAAGCAGTTAGCCAGATACCTGGAACACAACAGAAACTAGATAAACTTTAGCTCTTTTATCTTCCTCCTAGAGAATCTTTAGGGTTTAAGAAGCTAAAAATAAAATAGAAATCATTTTTTAAAATCTTCAGTGGTTTTCCAAAGCCTCCCTTAATGATTTTTTTGGATAAAATTTATTTATCCATTAGTAATATTTATTGAATACTATAAAGTAAGGGAGGTTATTACCTTTGTGTCCGAAAAGTTCCATTGGCTTCTAGTGAACAAGCAATTGTAGCTTTACACTTGTCCTATTTACTCCATTTTTCTTTTCTTTTCTTTTCTTTCTTTCTTTCTTTCTTTCTTTCTTTCTTTCTTTATTTTTTTATTTATTTATTTTTTTTTTCCTTATGGTTTTTTCCTTATGGATGGTCCTGGAAGCTATAAGAAACCAGAAGAACATCATGAGAAAGAAAATATGTTCACTTAATGCTGCAGGTCCTTTCATCTACAGATTTCAAAGCATTGTCTCCATCACTAATTACTAGCCCTGCTTAACATGTGGGAATGCTGAGACACCATCAAATTAAGAAGCTTGCCCTAAATCACAAGGCGAGTCACTGGATGAGCTACAGACAGAACAAAGCTGTCCTGTTTGCCAGCCTTGGGCTCTAAAATAGGGCACTTGAG